CTGGCCCCTGCAAAGCCCCACAAATGTTTATAGCACCAGTAACCAGCAGACTGTAATCAGCAGGATTCTGTAAACATCCCTTCAAAGTACATAATGGCATAAAGCTTTCTGCCTACCCAGCAACTTTCTCTAAATGAGTTTAAGAAATGTTCGGAACAGTGTAGTTCATTAATCACTATCATGTCAAGGTGGGATATTGTCTCTGTTTGCAAGATCAGGAAATCACAGAGCCGATGCCGTAAGTAGTTTTTAAACCAACCATACAGAGAATTAAAGAGTAATTGATACGGTGCCTGAATCAATCAGGATAGGCGAGGTTGTGCTGTGATGACAAACAACCCCCCACGTCACGGTGGCTTCACCGCTCATGCTACACATCCATCAGGCCAGTGGGAGCAGAGCCCTCCCTCCCGGCGATTCGGCAGTGACCCGCTGGGCTGTTGCCACTCACCGTGACAGCAGAAGAAAGAATGTGGCTTTTCAAGGGACATAAGATTCGGGAGCTGTGACCTCAGCCTCTTCTGGGATCTGTTAGCTTCCCCTTCAGTGCCTTTGTTTCCCTCTTTGTAAATTGTGTAGAATATAGACTTTTCTTCATTGAGGGTGGTGCATGTGACCCATCCTAAGTGTCATGTGTCAAGTAATGGGCCTTTTTTTGTTTTTTTTTACCAAGGGGACACGACACGTTCAATTAAGTACAATCCTATAAAGGTTAGTTTGAGATCATACTGGTGGTGATTTGGTGGTGCTTTATTCTGGTGGTGCTGTTGTTGCTCTGTTGCCTCCAGTTGACGAGTCACCTAGAACGTTCATTTTCTTACCGTAGACAGGGTTGTGGTTACGGCGCAATCACAGGGCTCTGTCACCACCGAGAAGCCAAAAGTCCGTCCCCACGAGGCTCCCAGAGTGGGGTACCCATCACTCCAGTGATTCCTTGAGCGTGTCGAGTCAGTTCTTAAGCTCTGCAGACTCCGAAACGTGATTTTTCATCTTTGCGGGGCAGGGGGGAGGCTCAACGTTACTCAAGTTCAAAGTACCGCAGTGTCCCGGCATCTGGTGAGCGACACAGCCCTCACCCAGATGGGGCCCTCCGGCACGTGATCCTTGACCTCCACCTGGAAAGGAAGGTCAGAGGGGTGGGGGGCAGGGGAATGACGTGCATGGGCCTTGAGTCCGGCCTGACTTTGTTTGGAATCCTGGCTTTGCTGTCAGACCGAGAACAGCCTGCCTGCCATCTCCAAGTCTCAAAATCTCTGTTGGCGAAGGAACAATAGAATCTTATTCTAGGTGGTAAGGCAACCATCTAGGAGAGTGTGTAGCACCACATCTAGGACGTAGCAGGGCCTCGGTGGCTTCTTCAGAAGGCATGGCATTAGAAGGAGGGTTACATAGACGAGCATTTCCTATGGGCAGCTACAGTAGCCCCGTACCCTCACGTCTGCCATGTGCGAGGCCTTGCTGCTGGGCCCCCATGTCTTGGGCTTCGTGGCTAAGACCCCATTTGCTTCCCCTCCATTCCTCTCCCCCCACACACCTTCCACTCACCACCCCCCCTTCCATACTGTGATTACTGTACTTAATCACGTTACAGAAAAACTGTACCAGCCCTGAGAGTAATTCTTCCCCTTCCTTGGTAAGTTTATGGGTCTCTGATCAATCCCACTGAGACGTTGGCTTTAACATTTACTCTTAAAGGGAAGGAAATCTTATTTCTGTCACTCGAAGTTTGGGCCAGAAAGCTCACCATAAGCCTGAAGAACCCACAATAATTATGTAATAGTCACACCTTGTTTTATAAAACCAGCTTGACCACCTCCTCCTCCACCTCCATCCTGCTCACTACGCTTGACTTAAAGTGACTTTTTGCCACTTAGAAAAACAAGTAAAGGGGATCCCTGGGTGGCTCAGTGGTTTAGCGCCTGCTTTGGCCCAGGGAGTGATCCTGGAGACCCAGGATCGAGTCCCACATCAGGCTCCCTGCATGGAGCCTGCTTCTCCCTCTGCCTGTGTCTCTGCCTCTCTCTCTCTCCCTGTGTGTCTCTCATGAATAAGTAAATAAAATCTTTTTTTAAAAAAAGAAGAAAAACAATTAAATCCATTCTGAGGACAAAAAGATTTGTCACCAGGGAAGATGTTCTTATAAGTGTGATGTGAGCTTCAAAGGCAACCCAGTATCAAAAATGTGAGCAGGAGTCATAGGAATACTCTGACTACTTTGAAAGGAATGGCAATCATTTGGACAGATAAAGTATGGTGCATTGCAATTTAAAACCAGCCATACCATCCTTACATTCAGTCATGACCTCTGCATTAAATGCTCTGTATGTGGGCAGCCAGGGACCTCCGGGGGCTGGAGGTGGTGCTGAGCCTGTAGCAGCCTGTAGCAAACACAGCCTGAACCCCCTCCCTCTGATCTACTTTGTAATTTATCAGTGACATCCTCAGGTGCCACGGTGACCTCACCGCGTTGTTGTCTACCATTTACCAAGGAGGGTCTTCTATAAAATCCCCATTGCCCTATTGGTTACAGGGATTACTTATTCATGTTTCATATTTTAGCATGAGCAGAAGTATAGAATCTTAGATGGTGTTAATTTATAAGATAGATTCTCCTGTTGATTCATAGCTTTCAGGGAGAGGAAACTCAGCCTGGGCTTCAAATCCAGTCCTGTCATTTCCAGTTGCTTTTATTGGTAAACCGATGGTCAGGGAAGCCCAGAGATTGCCACCCTGTGAGCCCAGGAGCGAGATAGCAAAGGGAAACTCTCTGCTTTAGCTTCTTAAAATGAGTATTAGCTCATCCTCTGCGCCCCTGATAAGCTCTCCTTATCAGCAGATGCTACAGGACACCCCTTTCTCTGGGTCCTGCCGTAATGGCTAGTAACCTGCACATATTAGACAGTCAGTAAATACTTGTTGAATTAAAGAGAAGTGTACCTGAATTAGTTGGGGCTGCCACAACAAAATACCACAGACTGGGGGCTTGAACAACAGACAATTATTTTCTCACAGTCCTGGAGGCTGGAAGTTCACGACCAGGGTACCAACCTGGTTTGGTTCTTAGGAGAGCCCTCTTCCCAGCTGGCAGATGGCCACCTTGGCCCTGTGTCCTTACATGGTGGAGAGGGAGAACATGGGCCATCTCTCTGTCTCTTCTCATAAAGTCACTGACCCATTCATGACAACCCCACTCTAATGACGTCATCTAACCCTAATTCCCCCTCCCGAAGGTCCCATCTCCAAATGCCACCACATGGGGTTTAGGGCTTCAACATATAAATTTGGAGAGGGACACAGCACAGCTCATAGCAATACTCAGAAAGTGAAATAAGAAATCAAACTTATTTCGTCAGAGTGCCTGGGTGGCTCAGTTGGTTAAGCGTCTGCCTTCAGCTCAGGTCATGATCCCAGGATCCTGGGATCTAGCCCCACGTCAGGCTCGCTGCTCAGTGGGGCAACTGCTTCTCCCTCTCCCTCTGTTCTTCCACTGGCTTGTGCTCTCTGTCTTGCTCACTCTTTCTCAAATAAGTAATTTTTTGATAACTCTTTAAAAAGGTGGCTTACCACTTAGGTGGCTCAGTGGTTGAGCATCTGCCTTCGGCTCAGGGCATGATCCCAGAGTCCCAGGATTGAGTCCCGCATTGGGTTCCTGTGAAGAGCCTGCTTCTCCCTCTGCCTGTGTCTCTGCCTCTCTGTGTGTCTCTCATTAATAAATGAATAAAATCTTTTTAAAAAATAAAAATAAAAAGGGGAAATCAATTTACCACGTATCACGTAACATGATTGAGATGTCTTGTCCACTCCCCTATCAGAGTAACCACTAGAATAGGAAACATACTCAGGAAGGTATATCGATGTGCATAAATGCACACACGTACACACACAGAAAATACACAACTTTTTCTCTTCTGGAATCTTTGTTTCTGCTCTGAGCTTGGAGACCCAGTGAGTACAGTTGGAGTACAGTAGTTGTCATAGGGACAATGCATTTGCAGATACTTGACTTGGAAGCTGATTGAGAAATAACTACTCCCATTAGCCCCGAGTCTCCCTCAGATGGCCTTTCCTTCCACCCTCACCTCACAGGCTGGTGTTCTGTGGCCACCTCGCCTGTGCTTGGCTAAGGTGAACGATGTATTAACAATACAGACCTCCGTGGCGATTTCATGCCTACACCTCTGGCACACTCCTTTAGATTAGCAGAGATGTTTAAAAAGGAGTTTATGATAAAAAACACTCTTAACATAAAGACTGTTCTTCTCCTTTGGAAAGCCAACCAGAGGGTGAATTTGTAATTCATTCTTCAATTCTGTTCCCAAGCTGCTTTGGCCTTAATTTTAACATTCCTGGAAGGAGGTACTTTTATTGTTTGTATTCAAAATTATGGAGCGGATCAAGTGGTCAAGGGCAGTCTGGAGCCAGGATTCAAATCCCAGTCCCAACACTTGCTTGATCTCTGGTGTGTATTTCCTCCCCATACGACAGAGTTTTGTTTTTTATTTTTTTTTATATGACAGAGTTAATAACAGGAGCACCTCATGGAGCTGTAATGGGGGGCAGAGATGGTGATATTTGTAAAGTACTTAGAATAGGGCCTGACATGTAGCAAATACTATGTGAACGTATGTTACATGTATATACATAAAAATATATTTCAATAAGGAATCTTCCTGTTGATGCAATGTAAAATGTTCTCCTGTATGGGGAAGAAGAGCCAGAGGGCCTGACAGTCCTGCCAAAGAACAGGTACCATCTGTTTCAGAACAAACTACTAGGAAACCAAGGCAGAAGGTCTCTGCCTATTGATGGCCCTGTGCTTGGCTTTTTCGCTTGGCAGCATCCTCATTGTCTACTCCTTTGGGTTTTACAAAAATCATTTGCATTAATGTACTTGAGCTTTGAGATATCCCATTTAAAAAATTGTATCAACCTGCCATCACATGTCTTAGGACAAGTCCTCCCTACTCATTTGTCTCTTTTCCATCTTACTCTTCCTCCAGCCCAAGCTTTTGGCCAAGGAGCTGCTGGACCTCGTGGCATCTCACTTCAATCTGAAGGAAAAGGAATACTTTGGAATAGCCTTCACAGATGAAACGTAAGTGCTGCCACGGGCCCTCCCACCCTGCAGGGAGAACCTGACATTGCACTGTCCAAACTGTCAACAGTGAAATCCGCTGCAGGCCACTTGGGTCCTGTGGTACGGGGTCAGTCCAAGTTCATGATCCGAATTTCAAAGACCTTGTGATCATGCCTGGAACAGCCAAAGGATATAATTAGGATGATGCTAGTTTAAAATTATTAGGTTAACTAGTTCTTATAATCAAGCAGCTTCACGTTCAGAACTAAAATGTTTATTTTTTTTTTAAAGTGAGTTTATTTCCTATTAAAGTTAAATGAAAACTTCTGGAAATTAAATATTCCTCTCCAGTGTTAGGATAACAATAACAGGAAATGAATTTGATGATAAATTCAAAATGAAAAGTGTCTGTTCAGTTTCACTGTCTCGGCTGGCATAGAATATAAAAATCAAAAATTCATATCATTCAAGTGATGAAAAGTACGTTTGTTTTCAATGGTTTTCAATTTGGCTCTATAAAGTGGCATTTTGCGAAACAGGTAAGGAATATCTTTACTAAAATTTCAATTTCCTTCTTAATACGCTATTATCAAGAGTACATTGAATACCTGCACAGATTCCTAGATGAGATGCGAAAAGGAAATGCTTCACAGTTTTTTTTCCTTTGTGTTCTCTCTCTCACTTGCTCTCCAAATGTTTAGAATGACAGAGGTGATTTCCTAGGATATTAACAGAGAAGGGGGGTTAGGTTAGTGGCTGGACAAGACAGTACAGGGGAGGCAATGACCTGTCAGTCAAGATGGTGCCATCGAGGCAGGACAAGCTCAGATGCAAGGACAGGAGGAACCCACATTGGGCAGTTGGAGGTATCTGCACATTGTCCCGTTAGCCTCAGGAGCTACAAGTGAGTAGGATGGCCATCTGATTTATTATTTGAATCAGGACAGTATGAGTAGTAAAATGGCATGGAAACAAGGACTGTCTTGGATGAACTGGAATGTTTGCCCTCTAAATTAGCAGTGTTTCAAGCGACAGTGCAATCAGGTTGCAGGCATGGGGAGCAGAGTTACATTGTCCTCAAGAAAGCCAGGAGGAGCCAGGTTGGCCTCTGGCCCTGGAGCATGTAGAGAAGTGAGCAGGACGGAAAGCAGGAGTGTTGCCCAGGCCTAGAATGATCACTGTGCCTGCAGGTAGGGCCGGTAAGCAGGGTCCAGGGAAAGTGTGGCCACCACTATCCCCTTCACCCCAATCTAGGGTGGAGGATCCATCCAGCAAGCATAGGAGCAACAGGCAGCTGGGAGGAGCTCAGTGGATGAGGGCTGCAGCTGCCAGGTGGGCCTGACTCACGGGGAACTGGCTAGTGGGCAAGCTGGAGGACTCTGGGGGGAAGGAGCCAGAGTAGTAATAAAGCAAATGCTTTAAAACAAATACAGATCGAGAGCAACTACTTTCACAAGCACAGATACTTTCTTCCCCTTTGCCTGAGGATCACTGTTAAACTTCCTAAATTGCTATTCGTATGTTCCACTAATTAGAAGGAAACCAGAAGTTTCAATTAATCATATCCCATTGTTCACATTGCCCGAGTATGTTTACTCTTGTAAAAGATCTGTGAACTCTCTGTTAGTCCCGGTTAGACTTTCCTTTTTAATACACAAGAATCAAGGAATGAGCATGTGGTCCCAGGCCAATGAGGAAGAAATAGGCCGGCTGAACGTTGCAAATCCCTGCCGGAGCAGCATAGGCCAGAAGGAATGGATTGTAAGGTAGAAAGTCACCCTTGTCCCGAGAGAGAGGACAGCACACAACCACACGGTACAGAAAGGAAAGTGGGAAAGCACAGGGCCGCACCCTTGTGCCATCAGATGGCCTGCAGCTGCGCCTGGGTGACTCAGTCAGTGAGGCATCCAACTCTTGATCCACCTCAGGTCTTGATCCCAAGATTGTTAGTTCAAGCCCCACATTGGGCTCCATGCTGGTGTGGAGCCTACTTAAAAACAACAAAACAAAACCCAGCCTATGGTTCTCTGGGCTGGCCAGGAAAGCATGAGTGTGCCCCTCCCTGAGTATGTGAGTGTGAGGCCAGGCTGCCAAAAAGCGTCTTACTACCTTGAGTGGTGGAATTGGAGGTGAGGCAGGCTCTGTGGGGAGGAGTCATGGGAGGGTGGGGGGATGTGAGCCATCCTCTAGCAGGGTCGAGGGAAAGTGTGGCCACCACCATCCCCTTCACCCCATTCTGGGTGGGAGATCCTTCCAGCAAGCGTAGGAGCAGCAGGCAGCTGGCAGGAGCTCAGTGGGCGAGGGCTGCAGCTGCCAGGTGGGCCTAACTCATGGGGAACTGGCTAGGGTCAGGGACCTGCGGAAATCAAGAACCAGGGTCCCTGAGGGACCAGGACAAGGGGGCAGAAACAAAGAGATGGCTATGACTCAGGGCGTAGTCAGTCGTGGTCTGACAACACCTGGGGCCAACAGATGTTGGCTGATGGCCTTGTTGGTAATCTGAACTTTCCTCCTTTTCCTGGTAGGAAAGGGGGGCAGGGCAGCTGCCATCATGAAGTAGCACCCGTGGCTGGGACCTGGCCTAGGTTGGTGGTCATATGTCAGTGAGCACTTAGCCTTGTTATATGTGCCTCCAGCCCTCATTCTGGGCACTGCTGGACTAACATAGAATTTTTTAATAACCGTGTGTCCAAATTGTGTGTATGTACTATGATGTAGTGTGTGTGTGTGAGAGAGAGAGAGAAAGAGAGATTTATGCAGGTGCTACACTGTGTCTCCTCTATTAAAATGAAATCAAAGTTCCATCTTATTACAGCCCAAGATATACCCTGTGGATTTGCCTATTTCCTAATGCAAATCAAACAAGACTAACATTTGGAAAGTGCTCAGGAGCTGTAAAATATTGTACAAGATCCCATCACAGTACTATGATTCTGTGTAGTAGAATAGATGACTTTAAGGTCATAGATTGCCAGCAAGGCCTTTTATATTAATTGCTGTTGATGACATTTTGTAGGAGCTGGACGGAGCTGGAGAAGAGCTATATAAAAGCAGAAGAAAGACAGGAAATTGGGAGTTTCTCTAAGCTTTTCTCATGCCATAATGTTGTATTCTTTAATAAAGTGCCCAGATCCACAGGGCACAACTTTGTGCCCAACGGTATTCAATATTGTTGGCTAATCCGCAGTTTTGCAGCATTAGTACTAGCTTTGCCTTTTCCTGTTTTAATTTAGCTTTTTAACTTTTTATTTTGAAATAATTAAACTTACAAGAGTTGGCAAAAATAGCAAAGCTCCCATATACCTTCCACCCAGCTTCCTCAATTGTTAATCATTTACAGAGTGTGTTACATTTTTCAAAACTGAGAGATTAGCATTGGAACTAGTATGCTCTGATATTATTGGTACTAACCTACAGACTTTAAGTTTTACTAGTTTTTTCATGAATGCCTTTTTTTCTGTTCCAAGATCCAATTGCATTTAGCACCCTTTTATTTTTAATAACTAATACAAAGAGACATCAGTAGTCATCTGTAAATGGTCTGAATGCTGGTGATCCATGCAAACAGTGACATTTTGGCAGCCTTTTAAACATTCTGCAGCTAAGTAAGAGCACAGTATAAATTTGATCTTAAAATAATTAATGTTTTGCTAGAGTCATGGTTCTCAGTCTTGACCACATACTGGCGTCACCAAGACACTTTATAAAATACCAGTGCCTGGGACCTGCCCCCTAAATTCTGATTTAATTGATTTGGCTGTGGCCTGAACATCAAGATCTTTCAAAGCTTCCTGATGGATTGTAAATGTGTAGCCAAATTTCAAAAAGACCCTGTTCTAGAGAGAGAGGGGAAAGTTGGAATGTATTTCTTCTGCTTCCTCCCAAAGATCCAAGAAGAGAAGCTGAGTTCACTCAGCTTTGAGTATTTGGAGCCAGACATGACCAATTATGTCATGACACATGCCAGGGACCTGCACAGTTATGGACTCTCTCTATTCCCAGGAGAGTCAGGAAACCTAATGTGTGGGAACCAGCTCAGAAGTGCAGATTTAGTGTTTCCATGAGCACATATGGGATAACTGAAATTTTCTCTTACCAATCATTTGCTCCCATCATTTAAAGAAAGTTATTTGTACATTTTATTTTCAAAATATATACATGGCTGTTTTAACACCCAAGTTTTGTTTTGGTTTTTTTGTTTTCAGAGCCCGTGGCTCTGGTAGTGTAATTTAAATCAATTAAGTCCAGTTTGTAGTTACCCAGTCTATTTTCCATCATCATTTTGTTTCCTCTGTTTGGGTTTCTTTTTAAAGGAAAATGCTTTTTTGAGGTATAATTGCTATACAAAGAACTGTGCATATTTTATGTGTGCAGTTCTATATGTTTGGACATAATGCAAACACTCTTCACACCCAAGTGTTTTTAATTTTTTTTTTTAAATTTTTTTTATTTATTTATGATAGTCACACAGTGAGAGAGAGAGAGAGAGGCAGAGACATAGGCAGAGGGAGAAGCAGGTTCCATGCACCGGGAGCCTGACGTGGGATTCGATCCCGGGTCTCCAGGATCGCGCCCTGGGCCAAAGGCAAGCGCCAAACCGCTGCGCCACCCAGGGATCCCCCAAGTGTTTTTAATTAAGTTTTAGGTTTTTATTTGTTGGCAGAGGATCCTATCATCAAAAGCTCTAACTAATTTTTATCCTAGGGGCACCTGGCTGGCTCAGTAGATAGAGCCTGTGATTCTTGATCTCAGGTTCATGAATTCAAATCCTACAATGAGCATAGAGTCTACTTAAAAAAAATAATTGGGATACCTGGGTGGCACAGGTATCCAACTCTTGGTTTCAGCTCAGGTTTTGACCTCAGGGTCCTGAGATCAAGCCATGTGTCCTGATCTGTGCCCAGTGTGGGGTCTGCTTAAGACTCTCTCTCCCTCTCCTTCTGCCCTTCCTCCCTGCACACACACACACTCTCTCTCTCTCTCTCTCTCTCTCAAATAAATAAATAAATTTAAAAATA